GCCTGCCCCACCTTTTCCTCAACATCGCTAGCTCTGATTTGGCCATAGGGCGCCGATACGTGATGCGGCATTTGGGACTACTATCGTCTGACATACGGTGAGCAGGCAATTATTGTCAAACCGGCAATGCGGGTGTCTACGGACAACGATAGCTCAGGTGTTAAAAGAGCTAGGTCGTACACACCTACGGTTCTGATGAAGAGGGTGTCCTACCTCAATCTTCAGAGGGTCCTGCGCTGCGTAACCTTTCAAATAACCAGGCTACACGAGTTTACCGACAGTGCCAACAACTGTAAAGACACGCTGATTGCGGAACTCGACCGTCGCGGAGATGACGCCTCCTCCAGGGACAGCATATTGGGCGATCTTCGGTTGGTTCTGGAGAAGAAAGGCCTGTGGTCACCGGCGCTTAATCAATTATTGTTAGAGCCCTGTATAACCACGAGTACCTTTCCTTCGTGCGGAGCACCATGGAGGACCAGAACAGCCATCCATAAGGCTTATTTTCTTAATAAAACTGTACGCTTTATGTTTCTTGCAAAATGTATATAATATATTTTTATTTAAAAAAACAGTTTTTTTTTGTTTCCTGCACCTCCATCTCCTCATATCTTCTCAATAATTTATAAAGCATTAAGCGTATTCCTCTGTACGTTGTTATTCGACGCCGCCATACACCTGCAGGGATTTTCACTTCGCCGAGATAAAGACATTCTTCAGAGGCGATCTGAACCCTGATTACATCATTGTTCGGAGAATGTCTTGAGCATAACATTCTTAAAGTTACGCGGCTTGGGAAACGGGCAGAATCGGGGACCAGGCCTTACCAATTAATCAGGATACGTTTTTACGACTTAAAGCAGATTCGCGTCAACAATACGGTAATAATCGAAAATGTATCACACGCTACAGCTTTATAATATACATAATGTGTCTTACAAAATACGGTGTTCTATTTCACCACGGGTACACTTATCTCCTTAGGATAGTTAAAAAAAATGTTACCGACCGGTGGTCAATGCATAATTACCGATCGTGATAGGCCCCTGGGGGCATGCAACGCCGCTATCTCTACTTTACCCCGTGTTCCACTTTCTTTTGCGTTCCGCCTTTCCCGTGGTATTTGCAATAGCTGTTCTTGCGAGACCCTGGGCCATTTTCGTGGCCCAGTACGTCACAACATATAGATGCTAGCAAACCTTGCCATATCACATAATTATATTACCGATTTATATGTATACCAATGTTATTCTGCAATATCCTTTGTGGTTTTATACATTGGATTATATAACTATTATGATTGTTATAACCAAAATGTTATATAATTGTTATATCCATTGTTATGTACCACCTTTGCGAAAATATCATCGAGCAGTCATGTTGTTGTAATGTACAAACTGTTATATTACTTGTTACACCCAGGTAATATAACTACTATATTCAGTGTTTGCTGGGTTCTTTTACACACTATAATCATTTAATCATATAATCATTAATCCAGGGATAATACGTTATTAACAATACACTAACAATATTCAATACTGAATTTTACTTTGTTAATATCGAACAATGAAGATATAAATAAACGGATAAGCCTGAATCTTCTCGAATAACATTCCAGGAGATTCAAATTACAGAGTACGACATGGTATGTTGATTATTGGAAAAATGTTAGGTGTCAATCGATATGTAAAGAATTTTGAGGAAGGAGAGTCACATTGACCCATCAGAAGTAGTTTTACTGCTATAAAAAGGGAGTCAGGAGTCGCATTTGGGGATGTGGATAAAAGAGATTAAGAGAGCAACATCAGAGTTGTCGAGTGTGTTAAATCATATTCAAAGTTCCAATTAGAGTCGTGAGTGAAATCAAAATATATCAAGTACCTCTAAACCTTAACCAAGTTACCAAAATCAGAGTGTTCACAATTACTTGTAACCTTCCCGGATAGAACTGAAGCCGTTGTATAGGGCCTCTATCCGTCCTTACTATTTCCAAAAAGGTAGAACTGAAGCCGAATTTAGGGCCTGTACCTTATCCTACCAAATCATTAATATAAATCGAAACTTCGATCAACATTCCATACATCGTCAGGACTTGGATAGGACTGATTCACGCCGAACGACCTAATTGAGATTCAATCGCATACTGAGGGAATTCCAAATATACTTGTTATACAAGATCTGAGTAAGTACAGACTTCTGCCTGAACGAAGCGGTAGAAAAGTTCCATTATGTAAAATATTCAGACAATTAGATAAACCATACACTCAAAAACAAAGAAAACCAACAAGCCAGAAGGATCTAGACGCGACAAAATATCAAGTTAACGAACAAGACAATTCTATCCAATACTTACCGTGGAAATTGATTCCCATAGAATTTTCAAGTTTACCAAAAGATTTACATACTGAGGAATCACTTAAAAATAGAATATTTCCTGATCCACGAAGATACATCTTGAGAAATTATCACAACTCCAAATCATAAAATTCGATAGGCTTTGTATTATCACGCGGACGTGCTGTTAAAGTAGACCGAACCAATGAATCATCTTTTACATTACAAATTTCATTTACGTTGCTTGATTTTCCAGATTTAGCAATCGTAACAATACTTAATGCATGAAAAGATAACTATAGCGGAAGCGGAATGATTTTTATTCCGGGACGCGAATTTACAAAATCCAAAAATTAATTCTATATTCGCACGCAAGAAAGAAAATGGATGCTCCAGACAATAATGGAGTAATCATCCTGCGAAATTCTTTGGGAGCTCCAACATCCCTTTCTTGGGAGCATCCCTTATCTAAAATCTAAATTTTCTAATTCCGTCCCGAGCAGCCCTAGTGTCATAACGCTCGTACGTGAACAAGAGGAAGAGAGCAGTGGCGACGTAGATGAATGTCCATGAATCTTGACAGATTTTTCCGAATCAGTCGATACGTTGACGCCGACGATCGATAGCAGGACGTTGAACCGATGATTACCAATTCTTGCGACATGCGAACTTTGTCGAATACTGCTCTTTTTTGATACTCCAGCATTGATCAACCGTTGGAGCTACTGGATCCGGCCGGAGGAGGAACTCCCCTGCCTCTTCAACGGATGTACATCGCTTATTCTTCCGATCACACGATCGGCCGAAGGGTGAGGAGCTCCATCCCGGGAACTTCGTGAGATTTCTAGCTATTACTTCGTGGAGTTTACCAAAGATCTCTCGAGAGGTCATATTTCCCATGTCGGTATGGTAGGTTTTCAAAATGTCTCTCCAATAGCTTTCCGTCCGGCATCAGTGGTCTATCCTTCCTCTTCTTCTCGTTAATTTGGAGTAGTGGTATCTCGTTGTTCACCATGGAACGTGTGGAAGGTAGAATAATAACGAATCAGCAGTAACATGTTTTAAATCTCACAATACTTTATAAAGGCCGGTAGGCGACACATAAACAAAAAGGGTTTTCGAATTCACACGATGAGGTGTCTTACGGCTACTGATTATCGTGTAGAGAGTGGACAAGCACAGTAGTTCTGTACCAGGTAATGCTACACCGCTTTGTGGCGAGGTTCTTTAAAATCACGTTACAAGATATGAGGAGTCCTGTGTGTATGTGGGAGAGAATGAAAGTAGAGAGAGAACCTAAATGTACGAATCTGTGTGAAGACAATCAGTCCAATAAATACTCTTGCCATAACAAGGGATTTACCTCTGCTTTCCTATCTCCACTCCGAAGATACATAGCAAGCTCGATAATCAAGGGTTTTCGGGTCATTAATTATAAATCTGAACTCAAAAAATCAGAGATGCAAAATGCTGGATCCAATATGGTCGATGAAAATGAAAAAATAGCTTCATGTAGATCAAACTTGGTACTCAGGGAGTAGAAATCTGCGAACTAAATTTATAAATTAAAACTACTTTTTGTATTTAGTCATATTAGTACGTTCAACATGTACGATGCCAACTTATCTATCATCCTTACCTACGGATAGCAACTGATGACTTTCAACCTGGGACTACATCGAGCATTCAAATGGCCGTTTAGCTTCGCGGAAGTCAAGTCTGCAATCATCGGAGCCGACTGGATCAGACATACGGTGTACCCATCGACCTAATAAGTTGTAAACTCATTGATCTTCGCACCGAATTCAACGTCACGGGAGATCTGGTGCCGACTGACGTGTATGAAATATCCTCAGTTGATAATCACAGTGCCGCCAACGTAATGGGGAACTGGACTGTAACGGGAATTCAAAAACTGTTTGCAAAAATTCAAAACAAAAATTTGCTAAAATATTGCTATAAAGTGCGGAGCGAAAACACTTTGTAATTGGTCGTGACGTCACAACCTCATCTCCTTATATGGAGTTTATTTTATAGTCAAATAGCCAATGAGGAATGTTCATATTCGAGCTTCGCAAATTGGCGACGAATGGTCGGCGTCATAAAACGTTATTATTTCAAGTTTACTCACTAATCCGCAAGACGGCAGTACCGAAATTTCCACAATCCATAGAATTCTACCGGAAAGAGTGACAAATAAAAAATTCATTTGTTCGTTGATTTATTATGCATATGTTTAAATCCGTTAAAGTTCTTTCTCATTAAAACGGTCGAAAAATAGGTCATTTTTAGGAGTTTTTTTTCAAAGAATTGGCAATATATAGAGAATTAAAATTTTAAGGCTTTATTTATGCACATTATTCAAGAGCATAAGATAATTTTTTTTTAATTTTCTGCCGGTGAATCTTGTAGTGTTACGTCCGGCGCAACGCAACCTCATTGCCCTCCCCCCTCAGCACCCCCTCAGTACTCCCATTAGCAAAAGGTCAAAGACCACAACGAATGTAACTGATCCTCAACGAACATGTGTTACTTACTATAAGTTATATATATATTATGATAATTTAGGGACATCATTATATTATACACGACATCTCACACTCTCTCACATTTCCAGAAATCACACCAACACTGTGACATTATAGGTGGATGAGCGAAAAGAAAGAGAGATCACGACAAACAAAGAGCAAGAACAGCACGGACAGTAATGCTGAACGGAATACCTAGAAATGAGGTACCTAAAGAGCATTTTAGCTACTCTTCCTACCGTCACACCCACCTCACCACCAAGATAATTCAGACGATGCACTAATCCAAGGAAGAATCCGTGATCGAAGACCTATAACTAGAATTCTATTGAGCAACCGGATCAACTGCCCCGATCACGCCATAACATGTATCCAAATTCCCGGAAGTTTCCTAACATTGTATTCAATCCCCTCCAAATTCAAAATCTTCCTTATGAACATCGATACCGATCATCCTCAGTTACGAATCAATCCTGTGGTAGAGCAGTATCCCTTCTGGAGTCTTAAGCCGATTGTCCGCATCAGTCAGGTGTTATGCTGATCAAATACCATAGGGCTTATTTCGATCTAGCTATTGCCTTAGGGCCCAAGCGAAAAGTGCATCACCTCGGTGCCGGGTGTCCACATAATTAGAACTCAATTCTTGGCATTTCGGAAAGCATTCGTCTAGGCGAATGTCCACCTTAAGGCTCTCTCTCTCTCTCTCTCTCTCTCTCTCTCTCTCTCTCTCTCTCTCTCTCTCTTGTTAGTAGATTAACATACTCTCTGCTGCAAGCGACTGTAACAGTTACTTTGTATTTCGAACCTATTGTTTCGTTATATGTAGTTAAACCACATTATCTTCTCATGATTTCGAAACCTAAACCTATTAGCTCGTACATTCAAGTAAAATCATTATCTATTAGTATCAACCACGCCTCACATAGAAGAAGTGAGTCTGTCAATTCAATACATCTATTATCTGGTTGTAATCCTCACATTTGCGATTGACCACGGGACATAAATGCAAATAGGCGTGCTTTAGCACCTTAAAGTGGTAAGAACCCAATACCTTTTACATGATCTTTGATCGCAACATCTATGCTCGCTCCCTGATGATCCCGCAAACGGTCGCTCACGTATAGGACGTAACAGTACATGGCGCTGACTGCGCAGATCTGTTTTAGAAAGATAGGCGTGCTTTAGCACCTTAAAGTGGTCACATAGAAGAAGTGAGTCTGTCAATTCAATACATCTATTATCTGGTTGTGATCCTCACATTAGCGATTGACCACGGGACATAAATGCAAATAGGCGTGCTTTAGCACCTTAAAGTGGTAAGAACCCAATACCTTTTACATGATCTTTGATCGCAACATCTATGCTCGCTCCCTGATGATCCCGCAAACGGTCGCTCACGTATAGGACGTAACAGTACATGGCGCTGACTGCGCAGATCTGTTTTAGAAAGGCGCCTTATGAGTGCCATCTTAATTCTTCACCAGGCGGTCTGAAAAAAAAACTTAATTGTTTTTCGATCATTACGCTGATAATTATGGCCTTATCTACGGAGATTTCCAAAAAATAAAATGGCAATGATTGACATGCTTTTAAACAAAAAACTTTTATAAAAGCTTCTTTTCGTGAAAAATAGGGAATACAGAAAGAAGTTACATTTTGAAAGTTATGATTAAAGATAAGGCCAGAATCAGTTCATTTCTACGTAAAATGAGACTTCATTCATCCTAGGCAGTCAACAACTTTTTTCGTTATCGTGGCACTGAGTTGAAAACATGTTGTTTCAAGAAAAATGCATTTAAAGTTTTAACTAGAATTTATCGGTTTATTTTACGCGAATAAAATAATGTTTGGGTCTATCACCGTCAATCAGCTATTCCTGCACATTATATCAATCCCTCGGTTTTTTCGAATTCAATTTACAACTCGTTGTTATCTTTTTTTCCTGTGCATTCTGGACTCAGATCATTCGCTGCTTAGGCAATCAGCTGATGTGATGCGCTCTTGATTTCCTCGACTACTAAAAATACTTGCATGACAAGCGGTATTTACTCCCATTGCTTCTAATATCCTCAATAAAGTCATGCATTCTTCATTGAAAACGTATGCTGCAGTCCAACCCGAAATTTCAATAATTTCGTTGCCCGCGAATATGTGTTTGGGCGTGAGCTGTCATACGCACTTATTCCAACTCTTCTTATGGTTTTGAGTGTTTCTACCCAAACGTTTCAAAAGCTTCTCATTTGTTAAATCTTTAAATATCCGTTTAATAATATTTAGAACTTCCTGAGTTTTTGAAAAAAGTTGATAAAATATGATAAAAATGAAATTTTACATTAAAAATATTATGTAAATACTTATTTTTTGTAAAATTTATTAATACAGTTCAATAAATACTCATTACAATAAAAAAAAATTGAATGCAAAAAAATCGAACCAGCAGCCATTTGACTACCAAGCATGCTCGTTGCCACTAGACCACCGACCTGGTTGACTATTTTTTGCTTGACCAAGTATATCACGTACCTGTACAAATTCGTAAATTTTCCAGATAACTTTTCTCGAAAACGACTGCTCATCTAATTAAAAGGCTTTAGGATCTTACAAGAGGAGTATATACCTCTCTTCAGGAGAAGTAGGAGAAAAAACTAAAATATCCACACCTGGTCCTCTCTTTGTGAAACAAATGTATGAGTTCCAAACACTCTTGAGTATTTTAAATTAGGTATTGTTTTAAAACGAATTACATATGGCGTTTTTCCCATTCAGCTCTTTGTTGGAATTCTATTTTTAATATGATTAGCAGTCATAATTGCCTGTGCCCAAAGGGGTTGAGACAAACCCGATCCAATAAGCATACATCTCGTTACTTCTACAAGTGTTCGATTCTTCCTTTCGGCCACACCACCATTTTGTTGTGGGGCATATGATGTCGTGAGCCTTTTTCGTTTACCATTTTCTTGTAATAACTTGTCAAATTCATTGCTGCAGTAGTCTTCCTGTTTGAGTCTCTATCATCTTAAATTTCTTGAAAGCATCCAGAACTTCGTTTTTGATCTTTAATAAGTATACCTCGCACCACCTTGAGTGATCATCAATGAGGGTCGTGAAATATTTTGCTCCTCATTCAGATTCAAGTCTTTTAGGACCACAATGTCCGAATGTATAATCTTCAAAAACTCTTCAAATAGTTCCCGATGTTCTTGAAAAGAATGTGCATATTGCTTATCTAATAAGCAAATTCTATATCCTTGAAAAGTTGCATTTTGATCGAAAATAATTCCTTTTGCTGAATTATTCTTCATCATTCCTATTAGATCTTTTTCGTTGAGTTGAGCCAGTCTTTCATGTCATAATTTCATTTCAGAGTTTGCATTTATTGTTGCTTTATTAGTTTCTTGTTCTGCTTCCCTTACATAATATAAATTTCCAATTCTGTCCACTACCATCCTAACTTCTCCTTTTTGATTCCTTATTATTCTTATATTTTTCTTGAAAATTACTTCATAATCACAATTTGGGGTCTTAACGACAGAAACGAAGTTTGTTCTTAAATCAGGTACTAAGAATGCATTGTTAAAACTTATAGACTGTTTTGGTTTTCAACCAATATCATTATATCATCAGTTCCTTTTCCCTTTACTTAGGTAAATGCCGCGAGTTATGATGACTACGGTAGCCTTACCGATAAGATACAGAGACACCGGACACCGGAAACCAAGGTGTCTTTATACGGAACGATTGAGAGGAAGTCAGTGAGAATTGACAGCTGAATCGAACAGCATCACTCTTATTAATAATCATTTAGAATTAAGTTATTTTTGTAATCTTTTTAAAGCGTATAAATTCACATCTAACTTAATTCGCGTTGGCTAAGTTAAAATTTCCATTTTTTACCGCCTGTATTTCTCAAAACCATAGTTGGCTTTTACATAAATGAGTAGTATATCCACTATCTACATACCATCGTTCCTTTTTAGGGTTCCATGCAGTCCACATGCTGCTTTCACAGTTAGCTTCACAAGCAAAAAAAGACATCAACAACATTTGCTTCATTTAATCGAATATAATTTTGTATAACATTCAACAGCTTTGTACCCTCTCCTGTTACACCGATAACATTTAAAATTATAATTATTTTCTTGCAGCCCTATTTTATCTCCTTTTTGAAACTTTAGATTGTTAAATTTTTTAACCGACTTATTTCTTGTTGATGCTACCATCGCTCCTATAGAACTCTCTCTAGACTTCTGTTTCCTCACATCATTTTCTTAAAGAATTTTGACTTTCAAAGTCTCTGCATCCAGTTGATCTCTGGATTCGATGGCACACTTAAAATTGTCAAAACTGTCAGGCAGACTATATAATAAGATTATGGTTAATCGGTCAGCGTTAACCTCATTATTCATGTCAGCTAACTTATAGACAGCATTAAACAGTTTTTTCATACGCTCTCTTACATCATCACCTTCACGCATTCTCTGTAATGTTAATTGTTTTAACAACATGGCCTTTCTTGCTAGACCTTTTGATGCAAATATTGATTCGAGCTTTCTCCATACTTCACAAGATGTTTCACAATTTTTTATCTGTTTTAGTTTCACAGACTTATGCTTAAAATCAGATCGGCTTTAGCCTTTTTATCTTCCTTACTCCATGTACAAATTGCTTGCAGAGCAGCCATATCCAATGTAGATACTTCGGGTTTTATCTTCATTCCTGAGACATATTCCTATAAATCGTTTTTGTTAACAAAGCTTTTACTTTCATTTTCCATGTCTCATAATTATCCTTGTTTAGTAACTCGATGCGTGTTGAATTCATCAGATTTGTCATTTTCACTTTCTCAAATTGATTTCTGAAACACGTGCAAATATAACCTCTCAACTGCCTATTTGATCAATGACAGTATCTTCGATTTTTATTCCAGACTTACTGGGCCTATAACCTTTGTTGGTATTAATGGAAGTTCTTCATGTATACTGGCCGGAGGATTAGAGATAAACAGTACAAGAATAGTTAACACTTTAACCCCTATTCAGAACTCGCTCTCAAGGCCATTCTACAATGCAATATAATAAGAAATAAGCAATAAGATCTTCAATTGATATTTACCTAATTCCATTGGATCCTCCAATCAAGAATGAGAAAATCGTTTTTAAAACCGAGCGTTTACTAAGTCTCTACGATTTTTGTGACGTCTTGGCATAGCAACGATACGGAAGCGGTTGCTAGGGTCTTTAAGGACTTCACGGAGCACGAAACGTGATGAGTAGTATCGAGCATGCTCCGCACCAGAGATGAGTGGGGAGATGTACAACGCTCCGGTTTTAGGCGATACCAAAAGCATGGCGCTAAATCGTAACGGCGAGTCCGGGAGTAGGATTTCGTGATCATCGTCTCTGTCGATGTTACAGATTTCGCGTAGCCGCCCGGGTCATGATCATCGTTCCAGCCGGTATTGCAGTCAGCGAAAATGAATAGATTGCTCGGTGGTGGGGAAAAAGTTGCCGCCGCTGACAAACCGTTCTTGACAAACAGGCGGGGCAGCAAGGTCTTCCGTCCAACCGAACCCTAAACATTTGTATGGACGTAATGCGCAAACAAATTTGTATATTCAAATAAATTTCAGTTATAAAAAATGCATAGAAATATTGGTTTTCACTCTTTACCTCTTATCACGCCGAAAATGAACATTAAAAAATGAATGACGAAATTCGTTGGTAAATGAAACGACCGAGAACAGTTCAAATAGAAATTTTGAAATATCATT